GGCTGGTCTGATGTGTGGGCTGTAGAGCCAGCGCTCCCTGTTTTTTTTTATTTTTTAGATCTTTTTATTAACAACATATAAACACAGAACACTGCTGCTGCTGAGGCTGCCAGTGCTCGCTTTTTTTCTTTTTTCCGACCTGTCAATCAATCCAGTAGGCGTGTCAGTAAATGACCAATCAGCGACCTCAATTTGTCCCGAAGGTAAACGCCCCTTGTCTGTGAAGCTGCTCTGTACGCTGGAGTATCATGACTGAACCCTCTGCGTACCGTTCACGCGTACGTACGCATGAACGGACATACGCGGCAGTATACTGGAGGCTTTACCTTAACGACCTGAAACACCTTACCCAGATCTACAATGGAATGGGTCAGATAAGACATGTTCCATGTGTCAGAATGGCCCAGCTGGAAACCAAGAATCATTTTCCTTCCACTTCACAATTCTGCTCTACTTTGTGTTGGTTTGTCGCACAGAATCCCAGTAAATTACTTTGAAGTTTGTGGTTGTAACAAAACAAAACGTGGAAAACTTCCAAGCATCGTCCAAGATGTGTCTTCTGAAGTCTGGAGAGAAAAAACTTCTGATTTTCTTTAACCAGGCAAATCCCACTGAGATCACAGATCTCGTTTGTAAGGGAGGCCTGGGCCTGAAGGCAGCCTAACATACATACCATACCATACCATACCACTTTATTTATAAAGCACTTAAAACAGCAACAAGGCCAACCAAAGTGCTGTACAGACAAAACAACAGGTAACACACAAAGCAAAATACAAAATGAAATAAATCAGAATATAGACAAAAAACGATGCAGATAATGACGACAAACCAGTGTGGAGCATACAGGATCAAAACACAGATCATCTGGTGTTGAAAGCTATTGAATAGTAGTGAGTTTTTAAACGGGACTTGAAAACCGAGAGGGAGGGGGCCTGTCTGACAAGCAGAGGTAACTCGTTCCAGAGTCTTGGTCCTGCTACAGAGAAGGCCCTGTCACCTCTGCGCTTAAGACGAGTTCCTGGAACTGTGAGGAGCAACTGGTCCGCTGACCTCAGGGAGCGTGGTGAGACATGTTTTCATACTGTGGGAGGAAACTGGAGTAAACAAAGTAAACCCATGCAAACACAAAGAAAACATGCAAACTCCGCTCAGAAAGACCCCCAGGTACAAACCCAGGACCTTCTTGCTGTAAAGCATAAATGTCAAACCCGGGGGCCAAATGTGGCCCTCGTTGACATCTTATCTGGCCCCCAAGATGATATGTGAAACGTAAAATACTTCTATCTCTTGAAATTTTTCAGTAATATTTGATTATAACAAAGTCCATGCTCAATAATCCAGGTATACAATCCAACATTTTTTAGTCAGGTCATCTGGACAGTTTCTTTTTTTTTTTTGTGCTGAAACATTTCGCCTTTGATCCGAAAGGCTTCATCAGTCAAGGAAACGCACAACAAAACTGATTCTTCCCCCAACAACTTACTCTAAAGTGGAACAAACCAGTTCTGCTTATGATAAGATGGTCTCTTTGGTACGCCCCTCCTCCATTGCTGGCCCTCTTCCTTGTTGACAGTCTTGCCAAACTGGTTGAAAACAACAAAGTCCATGCTCAATAATCCAGGTATAAAATCCAACATTTTTCAGTCAGGTCATCTGGAAGAAACGTTTCAGCACAAAAAAAGAAACTGTCCAGATGACCTGACTGAAAAATGTTGGCTTGTATACCTGGATTATTGAGCATGGACTTTGTTATTGTTGTTTATTCTTTTCAGTTTGTCAGTTACATAACGGAAACAAAATTTATCTATTTCGATAGAAAAATTGTTTCTGAATCAAAAAAATTGATTTTGAATCAAATCGTGACTCCAAAAATCGGAATCGAATCGATTCGCCAGACACAGATATTCGCAACCCCAGTATTTACTGTATTATTCATTGTAAAAATCACAGCTTTTTGTCTAATTTGCATGCCCTGTGACTTATTCGGCAAAGCGACATATTTATGGATTTTTTCCCCATATTTTTACACCAATTTACGCCGAGATATGACCGTGTTCATTCATTCAGACTGAAAAATGGAGCAGTGCCATTTTCGGCCGCTAGAGGGCCCTCTAGGCTTTTGACGACTACCCGTATACCAGTAGGCATACCCCATTATTTGTTTATTCCAGACCCGCTAAAATCCCATCAGCCAGCGCCAAAAACGTCACATTGACTACGAGGAAAGAGGACAACACAACAACATTAGAGAAAATGCCGCCAAAGAGAAAGAGAAATTCATATTCTGTTGAGTTCAAGTTGCAGGTGATAAAGTTTGCAGATGAACACGGGAACCGTGCAGCAGATAGCAGGTTCGGGGTGAGCGAAAAGCTTGTTAGAGACTGAAGGAAGACTGAGGTCACCCTCACGGCCATGAAGCGGTCGAAGAGGGCGAACTGCGGGAGTAAGGCGAGGAGGCCAGCTCTGGAGGAAAAGGTGAAGACGTGGGTGCTGGAGGAACGAGCTTCTGGCAGAGGGCTGTCCACGTTGCAGCTTCGTCTCCACGTAATGGCGGTTCGCCAGCTGGACATCACAGAGTTTGCGGGTGGACCATCATGGTGTTTCAGGTTCATGCGCCGGAACCGCCTCTCCATCAGAGCGCGGACCTCCATGTGCCAGAAGCTGCCGGCTGATTTAACAGAGAAGATGGAGAGTTTCCACGCCTTTGTGGACAGGCAGGTGAACGAGCACCATCTCGCCTGACCACATTATTAATATGGATGAAGTTCCATAAACTTTTGACATTCCCAAGGGACGGAGTGTGGCGCAGAAAGGGGAGAAAAGCGTGACCATCCTCACAACGGGTCACAAAAAGTCCCACTTCACTGTGGTGCTGGCATGCTGCGCAGATGGATCAAAGCTGCCGCCCATGGTGACTTTTAAGCGTAAAACCATGATGAAGGAGGAGTTTCCCCAGCGCGTGGTTGTGATGGTTAATAAGAAGGGGTGGATGGACACAGACATGATGAACTTGTGCCTCACAAAGCGTTACATGAAGCAGACAGATGGATTTTTTTTTTTTGAGCAAAGAAAGCCCTGCTGGTAATGGACAGCATGTGTGCGCACATCACGCTGTAATTTAAAGATAAAATTAAAGCGTGCGACTCCATCCCTGCCATCATCCCAGGAGGCTTGACAAAAGTGCTGCAGCCTCTGGACATTTCTGTGAACCGGAGCTTTAAAGCAGCTCTGCGCCGCCTTTGGGAACAGTGGATGATGGACGGAGAGCACAGCATCATGGCTACGGGACGGATGCGCCACACGACGTTCCAGCAGGTCCTCGGCTGGATTGATAAAGCGTGGACCTCAGTGACCAAAGAGACGATCCAGTCGAGGTTCAGAAAGGCCAGGATGTTAGCTGGAGCTGGAGGATGACTCTGACAGCCCCGGGGAGGAAGAGGAGGAAGCACTGTATCACTTACCTCAGGAGTTGGTAGAACTCTTCGCCAGTGGCACAGCGGATGAAGAATTCAACGGATTTGAATTAAAAAAATTAATAAATAGGTGTTTCTCTCATCATTATGGGCGAGTGGGTGTAGTAATGTTAAAGCAGTTTCATTTTGTCAGCTTCATTTTTGTAATGTATTTTGGGGTTTAAAAGCCACTGGGACGTTATGTTAAGAAAATAAACGTCTCAGTTTCTCTGATACTCCCTCAACATATGGAATGACCACTGGTCTGGGTCTGGGTTCCTCATTTTCACCTGATGGCTGACTGGAACCCCAAAATACATTACGGCAAAGACTGGTTCATCCCAAAGATCCAGTCCCCTGACACAAACAGAGTAATATTGTGTACGCTGTTCTGTGTCAGGAGAGCTGTGATCAGTCTTACAACGGGGAAACTAAACAGCCACTGGCCAAAAGGATGGACCAGCACAGAAGATCAACATCATCAGGCCAAGATTCTGCAGGCTACACTCATCTCCAGGCCAGCGGTCACTCTTTCAGGATGAAGATGTTCACATCCTGGACAGAGAGGAACGATGGTTTGAGAGAGGAGTAAAGGAGGCCATCTTTGTGAAAAGAAACCGTCCATCATTAAACAGGGGTGGAGGCCTCCGGGTTCAACTGTCCCCCTCTTACAATGCTGTTATTGCTAGTATCACTCAACCCCCTGTGAAAAGTAAACAGCCATCAGTGTGCTAATGATCCATTGTTAGGCTGATGGTCCTTCTTGAGCATGTGATCAGCTGGTTTTGGTTGTCAGCAGCAAAACTGGTTGATCCACTCTGAGAAGGTGCTATTTAAGAGACTGAGCTGAATACAGCACCTCAGACTGAGGAAGTCTCTGGGATGAGAGACGAAACGCTTCTACATTTTTTTGCTTTGTTTTGTTTTTTTGAATGTCCAGAGGACCAGACTGAACTTTTTTTGATTTTTCTACCTGGATTATTGAGCATGCATCAGGATATTTTTGAAAAGCAGCTGATTTGACCGTCAAAGTGCATTTATTAAGAAAAAATTCAACTGACACACATCTTTGCTATAATTTTGAGCAAACAAATAACTGTTTTTAAGTGTTAATCTTGTTAAAGTCCTCCCGTGCACGCTCCTGTGGCCGCCATTTGGCAGCCAATCCATTTTTGGCACAATATCTGGCCCACATTTCCGGGTTGTCAGCGGTGACGCGTAAAAAACGTGACGTGTCAGTGTCGACGCATTATAGATGCGACGTATATGGCAAAGCAACATATTTAAGGATTTTTCCACTTTATTGGACATGATTGGACTGATGCAACTTATACGGCGGTGCAACGTGTACAGTGGAAAATATGGTAATTTGAGTTAATGTAGATTCTGAAACTGGCCCTTAGTTTGAAAAAGATTTTAATTTTGGCCCCTTTTGTAAGTGAGTTTGACACCCCTGCTGTAAGGGAACCATGCTAACCACCAAGCCGTTATGCTAAATCTTTAATTCAGATCAGCTGTAATGAGTTTCTTCTGCAGAACAGTCACCTTGAGGTTGCGTTCGGTGCGCCCGTTGCTGAGGATTGACACAGCGCAGGTCATAGGGGGAGGCCAACACGGTGATGGGACCAGGACCAGAGCCAGCAGTAATCTGAAATAAATCAAACTAATTATTTCAAAATGCACATAAAACATTCAGCTCTTTACTAGTCTTAGGAAGTACTAAATCACTTTAAAAAGTCCCTTGCATCACTACAGTAGTCCTTCGCTACTTCTCAGTTCATTTCTCGCGGACTCGCTCTATCGCGGTTTTTCAAAGTAAGAATGGACACGACATATTTAATTGGCTGAATGATGGATGAGCCGCATGATCTGCAAGGAATTTTTATTTAACATAAATTATTTTTAATTATTTAGCACCTGTGTGCAACCCACAGCTGTGGGAGAAGCTTTCTCCTGCAGCTGATCAGCTGATCTCTGTGCAGAGCAGAAAAGTGGGCGTGGCCGAGAGTGCAGACAGAGGCAGGGAGCTGAGATCATGACATGCTGTGCTCTTTTAGAGCGTTTAGCATTTAGAAACATTGTTTAGAATATTGCGAGAGTGTGGAAAGGCTTTAAAATGCCTTTATAGATAATATATATAAATACTAAAATAAACTACTACTTACTACTTGTACTATAATTACTACTTCGCCATTTTTCACTTATCGTGGGGCTCCAGGGTACGGCTCTCCCGCCATAAATGAGGACTACTGTATTTCCATTTTAAAACAGGCAAAACAGCCAGTGTTTCCCCTACCATTATACAAGCAGAGCACCCCACCCTGTCAACAGGAACCCCACCCTCAACCATCGACAATTGCCGGCAATGACGTGGCGTTAAACTAGCGGCGCGCAATACAGACATGCTAGCTTAAAAGCTACATCGGCAGTGCTCCGTTTTCCCTCCGTACCCGCCCTCCACCTCAAAAACTGTCGGTACAAACAGCACGCAACACTGGAGCGTCTCTGTCTCCATCCCCCTCTCCGTCGAGAAAAATCATGGGAGAGATGAGCGTCCTGCAGCGTAATACTAGTTGTTGTATTAAACTTTGATCAAGAGCAGGGAGGGTAGATGAAAATAAAACAAGAGGAAGAGAAACAACACACAAAAGCAAACACAGCTCAGATAATTGAAGAAGACTAGTTTTATTTTAAGACTATGTGAGGCCACGCTGCTGTTTTAAACTGAAAAAGATTGTGCTTGTTACTAGCATACCTGTACAGTTCTCGCCGAGTAAGGGCGCTGCTGTACTGTCCACTGATGCCTCCTGCAGGTTCACATGCAGACATGCTGCTCGACTGCTGCTGCTGGAGACGCACACAAAGCGGCAACACAACTTCATGGAGTCTCTGCAAGAAATTCAACAACACAACAGAAAATGACTGTCTACACAAGAATAAGTGGCTAAAATGTGATAATTAATAAAAATCTGTGTTTATGATAAAAATGTATATTAACTTTAACAAGCAGTACGCCAATGTCTCTTGTCTCGGAGGGATTTGAAAAGTGAATGTTTGTAGTCTTTGAGATGAGCGTTTGTCTGGTCTGGAACTGAACAGGGAATGTAAGTAACCTTAATGCAGTGGTTCCCAAACTTTTTCTGCTTTTTTTTTCTGGACCATATAGACAATATTTTGGAAATACAACAAATGCGTGGAAGATGGATGAAAAAGCGAAGCAGCAGATCAGCTGCAGCAAACTTCTAGCCAATTCCCCAAAGGCTGCAAAGATTTCCCTCTCCATCTCCTGCTATATCACAAAGGATTTACGAGCAGACGGCTCAGTGGAAGACAAGGGGTTTAAGGCTCCAGTATACTCCCGCATCCTGTCAGCCACGCAGAAACTGTGCGCACTGTACACAGAAGGTTCAGACTTCATGCTCGAGCGTTTACCCTGAGCAGCTGCAGAGCAGCTCCGCAGACGAGGTGCGTTTACCTTCAGGACCAATTGAGGTTGCCAATTTGTCATTTGCTGATACACCTACTGGATTGATTGACAGATTGAAAAAATAAAATAAAAACGAGAGCTGGCAGCTCCAGCCGCAGTGGTGTTCTGTACTTTATATGTTGTTAATAAAAAGATCTAAAAAATAAAAAAACAGGGAGCGCTGGCTCTGCAGCCCACACATCAGACCAGCCCACCAGGAAATCTCCAGACCCTCCTGCAGCCATGCTGGACCCGAGTTTAATTTGCTTGCATGTATTTAATCCTTATTGAGTTTGTTGGGAGCAGTGATGGTTATAAAGTCTAACAGCTGCTGGGAGGAAGGACCTGCAGTAACGCTCCTTTGTGCATTTAGCATTTGCAAATAAATCAAATCAATATTTTAAATTTTTAGTAAACATTTACCTTGTGAATATTGTCCTTTAGCAGCGTTCCACTAGTCTGTATGATTTGTCTCAGTGCTGAGAAGAAAGAACATCCAATCAGAGAACATCCAGTCAGAGAACATTACAAGAACTTCAGCTGAGCAAAACAATAAATACAATTTTAATGAAACAATGGAAGAAAGACAGATGGATAGGTTACAAAGCCCCTTACCTCTGAGGGCTGACAGACATGTGTCCAGATTGGACAGAAGGTCTCCTTTTCTCTGGAGTGATGATCCAACTGTCTCTGCTAAGACCAACTGCTTTGTCCTCCGAGGACCCGGTTTTCCCCCAGGAACCACGTCAACCGACAGACCTGTCCTCAGCTGCAGAGTGGGAGCAAACAAAACAGTAAAAAGCAACGCAACAGTAAATACTAATCCTTTTTTTTTATTTTTTAGAAACAACTGTTTCCGAGTCCCTCCATCTTATTTTAAAATAAGTTTAACTTGAAATATTTTTACATTATTTGTACACGTTTACCTTAACAGATTCTGCTTCTGGTGTGATGTCAGAAAGCAGGTGGTTAAACAGGAGGCTTGCATGGCTGGAGGCTCCCTGAAGGATGCTAGAAGAAGCTCCAACCACCTTGACCCACAGTTCTAGGGTTCTGTACACAGTTACTCTCACCGAGCTGAAGGACAAGAAGAAAACTGGTTGAATATATTTTCATACCAGTTCACAGTGCTGCTGTTTATAGACGGTGCTACATCTCACAAGTTACCTTTACATACTCCATTTCCCCTCCCATATACAGCTTTGTTTGAATGTATTTGGTAGTATTTATATTTCTGCATACTTTTCACAGTAAACCCGGTTCTAGATGGCTGCCATACTTAAAACCACCAAGTGGCTGGCACTATAAAAAATTCTTAAGGAATTGTTCTAGTTTAAAAGTTTTACCATTTAGTTTTTGAAAGTGCATTCTGCACATCATGTTTTCACTTTAGTGCAACTAAGACAGACAGAATCAGGGATAATGTTGATCATTAGCAGATTTGATTTTTAGCAGGAATCCTACTTTCTTATTGTGAAACTGTATTTTCTTCTTGCATCTTTGGGTTCTTGATCAAGGCTCAAAGTCAAAATTCATTCATTCATTCAACCTTTATTTAAACAGATAAATCACATTGAGCCTCGAAGACTCATTTACAAGCGAGACCTGTTTGGACAGACAAAAACAGTGGTTTACTGGACACATGTAGGAGTTGGAGGCAAAAAAAATTCCTATCAGACTTTTTTCTTGGCTGAGAAAAACCTCTAATATTGAAAAAAACACCTTGCACAAACAAGCACATATTTACGTAGACATTCTGCATCAGAGACGAGAGCGGTCAACAACACTTATAGATGCTCTCGAGGTCACTGTAATCAGTCAGTGTCCTCCGGTGAGATCCATAAACATTTTCGAGGTATGTCGAGAAATGGCCAAGAATAACCTCTATGAGAATCCAGAGTCCTGAAATGATGACACAAAGTTTATTCAGCTGGCTCATCTGGTTATCAGTTGGAAATTCCTCAGGGAGGGGGCGGTGAGCGTCAGATCACATTTTCTCCAGGCAACTTTAGATAAGGTGGCCTTCAAGACCAGCCAAGGCGACCAAAATTTAGATAAACACACAGTTGTTTTGGGGACAGGCAGAACTTAATGACATCAACCTTGAGTCTGTGTTGGTCCACTCGGTTCTGAAATGTTCAAATTAGATGGCCATATCGATGGAACGTGACTAAGTAAAAATCCCCAAGATCTGATCCATTCAGCCCAAAGCATTCGAGTCCAGGTACTCAAGACACGAACCAAGTCATCATAAAGGCAAGCAGCGTGATCGGGTCCAAATTTGCTGCTGCCGACTTCCTTGATTGTAGATAAAACCAGCAACCAGCCGAATCCAAAAAGCAGGAACCAGTTATTGTAAATCCAATTAAATATGCGTCCTTAAAATCCACAAATGGCAGCAGAGATAGACACATCATCAAGTCTTCAAGTCGATGAGGTATCCAGCTGCATGCGTGCCAACAGGGCAAATCAGCTCGCCTAAAGCCTGTCTTCTTTTCGAAGAAATGTTATCAATTGAGTTGAGGGACCAACTGGTCAAAACAAGTCCATAATTATGGTTCGGAAGAAATGCAAGAGAGTCTCACAGCAATTTCACAGACTGAGCAGCAAAGCAAAGCAGAGAGGGAGGGAGGGAGAGAAGCATCCGATCTTGTGGGGAGCGAGTGGTGAAGTGAAATACTGAATAAACACAAGCAGTACGCTGATGTCCCCCGTCACTGTGGGATTTGAATAGTAAATGTTTGTAGTTTTTGAGATGAGTGTTTTTCTGGACTGGAATTGAACAGTAAATGTAAGTAAACCTAAATGTTATTGATGCAAGATTTTGAAGTGGCTAGGCGTTACACTGTGGAGAAGAGCAGTTTTGTGTTTTTTGGCTTGTCATAGTGATGGACCCTGGGGAGCGGAGGGAGCAATTTTGTAATTACCAGACACAATGACGGAGCCAGGGGTGGCCAGTGGTGGCCTTGGCCACCATAGCGCAATCTTCAGCCACCCCAACCATTTGAGGAAACTATACTTTTAAGCAATATAGAAACTACAAAGCATAGTTTCCTCAAAACATATCTCCCTCTCTCTCTCAGTGGCTATTTAAGACTTTCAACTTAAGGCTCCCACAGACTCGTGCGGACCTCAGTCCGCACAGAAACTGCGCGCACGGTTGCATACGGTTGAGACTTCATACTCGAATGTACACCTTGACTGGCTGCAGCCCAGCTTTGCAGGCAAGGGGCGTTTACCTTCAGGACAAATTGAAGTCGCCGACTGGTCATTTGCTGACATGCCTACTGGATTGATTGACAGTCCGCTTCGAGTCTAATCTAGTGCGTGCAGACATCCGCGGACTGACGTACGGCTGAGCATGTGGGAACCTTTAGAAAACTCAAGAAGCAACAGAGTTTATAAAACAAAAGTTTTTCCACGGTTTTCATTTTATATACCTAAATAAATCTGGAAATAAAAATTTATTCTATATTATTTTTACATACATTTCCAGACTGTGTAGAAACCTTATGTGTAGCGGGCCATCCCTTACCTGTAAGCTCTCTGCTGTCCTACACTGGTGTCAGGTGGAGGTGTCCATGCAGTCAGGGTTTGAGAAAACAGCCTCTGGATTACAGCTGCATACTGTATCATCCCACTACGCACTCTACAAAGCACAAAGGGGCAACACCACTCAAATATCAGTGACTCATTGACAGTAGTAGTGTAATGTACTTATTCGCATCATCAGATTTATTCTCTTCTCGATTATGATAAACTATGTTTGGGGCAGGGTAGGTGGGTAGGTAGATGGGTGGGTGGGTGGGTGGGTATGTGTTTGTTCTTCTCCTTGTTCTGTGGCATTTTTTTAGATTTCCTTACCGATATGACAAAAGCCCAGTTTAGGATATGCACATCTGGAGAACCTTTTTGATAGGTTTCTGCTCCTTTTCCTTTCCTTCTGTCCTCGAGGGGACATGTTCAGCCCAATGATGTCTAAACTTTAGTTTAGACAACAGAAAGTTTGAGTCTCACCACCCATTGAAACATAAAACAAAAGGTTCTGATCTGTGTGAGTTGGTTTCAATGTTGAGGCATCCATCTTCCAAATTGTGGTTAGTATTTTCTCAGGTGAACTTGATGTAGTCTTCCACAAAGTTAGCATGTCTGCTGAACAACTCTACTTCCTTAGTTTGGATTTTGAACCAACCATATCTGAACCAGTGGCTCGGTGTTGTTCTCTTGAAGGAGTCCAGGACTCTCTGTTCCACTTACTCCATGTAGAGATCAGCCACAATCAATGACACCAGAGATCCCATGGTACAACCATGCTTCTGTCTGTAAAAACTGTCACTTTCTGTGAAGTAAGTGGTGGAAAGACAGAGGTCCTAAAGGGTCCCACATGTGGCCCGCGGAAACATTGGACCTGATGTCTTCATCTTGTTGAAGTTGTTTTCCGACAGTTTCCACTGCTTCAAGTGGTGGAAGCAAAATACCAGTAAGGTGTCACTGAGTTTATGCTGCTACTGATGGGTCTGAGCAGCGTTCCTTCTTTGAGTGTTTTGGGAAGTCCATAAAACCACGGAGTGGCCTCCACAGAATATAATCTGTGTTACAATTGGAGCCCAACCAATATATCGGTAGGGCCGGTAATTTAGGCCGATATAGCCGTTTGGGGACATACTTGTATCGGTGATAATTGTCTCATTATGTGCTGATATAGGCACTACTAATTTTCACCCCTAAAATGCTAGAGCCTGCTGTAATTGTACAATGTATCTTGCAGAGGGCGCATGAAGACAACGTTCAAGTCATGGACGTTCACTTAAGTTTCACTTTCAGTTCAGCACAAACGAAGCAGCGAGCAATACTGTGTAGTATATTTTGCTGAATAGAGAATGGTAAGTTTATTTTAACTAAGCTGTAAAATAAAATAAATCAACAATTCTCTTCAATCCTCCAACCTGTTTGTCATTAGCTATATGCCTCTTAAGTTAGTAAGCTAACATTTAGATAACCTATAATAGGCTATTGCCTTGTAAAGTTTTATGCAGAGCAATAAATCTAACGTTAACAGTAAAATTTATTCGTGTTAGTAACGTTATCTTTGTCATCCTCAATGAAATGCATTGTTTGTCTGAAATATTTACTTCTCTGCAAAGAAAAAAACACAGCTGCAGTCAATACTAATGAGACCTTCATAATATGCGACTGTTTAAACAATGAACAGGAAGGGTGTTTCTTAGTTTAATTTATATTTTTCTAACACACTTGATAATTTTATGGTGAATAGTGGAGGATAAAAAATGTGAACTGATGTTAGGAAGACTGTTTTTATGACCAGTGCACCACTATACTTGCGTATAACGTGGATCTGATTTGCTTAGCTTCATGGTTGCTAACCCACGCTAAATAAACAAGCCCAACACCACTCGCTGTTTTCTTAGATTCTTGGGGGTGGACAAAGCTCAAAAATTTTCAGCCATTATATCAGTTATCAGCGGTGGCCTTCCACTCCCAATATCGGTATAGGGGATAGCCAAAATTTCCATATCGGTCAAACTCTAGTTACAATGATCCATTCATAACCTTCTATTGTTCAAATTTTTGCAGGTGGTCTGTAATCTTTTTGTAGGTGCTTGTTGATTCAATTGTCAAGGTCTCATACATGGTGCCATCCCTTGGTAGTGTGGAAATCTTTCCTGGTAACAGAAGTGTTGAGCACCACTGTGCACCCTCCTTGGTCAGCTAGCAAAATGGAGATGTTTGGGTCCTACAAAGAAGGTGTAGGAGTTGAAGGTGTCTTGGCACTGGAAAAGGTTGCCGTTACCTTCGTTCCGAGTTGACCCCAGTGACTTTCCATTGTGAAAGGTGTGTGCTTTAACGTGCATGTAAACCTCGGTTACAAAACACTTTAAAAAAACTTGGAAATCTACCCTCCATTTTTGTGAGACAGCTTCTGGATAAGAAGCACAATGTAATCAACTACAGTCCAGTTGTTCTGAATTTTTTTTTATTATAAAGTACATTTTGAATACTGGTTATGGTAATAAATTATTCTGGTTGCTGCGCTCCATCTTGTACCTGTGTTTGTTTGGAACAATGGTCATCATGATTTAACAATCATTTTATCAAGCTCTAGGACACAATTTTTATATTTATTTTAAAGATAAGCAGCAAATAATGACAATTTAATCTGTGTGCCCTGCTGTTATAGCTGGTCAGCAAAAAGTGTTCAACTGTGTTCAATGTTCAGGTTATATGTGCACTGTACTTGTATCAAACAAAAGTAATTTAGTTAATTTTTTGCTTTTTCTTGTCACCAAATGGTATTGGAGTTTGACGAGTTGATTACTGATCAGAAGATTTTCTATCAGCATTACTTGTTTTAATAATTCTCTTGCACGCTCTGGTCTTCTGTGACAGGTGGCATTTTAATTTATGTATGAAGCTAGACTGAAAAGGTCAGTTTTGCTGTTGAATAACATGAGAAAACTGTTGCATGTTTTGTTGTTTTATTATAGTGATAAAATGAGGGTCAGAGGGATCGTGATCTGTGATTCACACTTTTTCCACGCTTTAGGCTACAGTGTTAAATTAACAATATAGTGACTAAAGGCAGGTTTAAACATCAAATATTTATTGGTAATTGCAATAAAGCCCACACAGTACTGCAATATTAGTGAGTTTGTGATTTTAACAAGAGGCTTGATGTGGTAACAATTATTAGCATTCTTGATTTCTTTTTTAGCATAGAATCCTTAAAATTAAACAAATATTCTTTGCTGCCCATAACAATAAAGACCAAGAATGGCATTAAAAAAATGCCCCGCTCTCTGAAAAATAAAATAAAATAAATAAAAACACTTTTTTTGGTTAAAAAATGTTGGATGGAAGCAAATAGGAGTGTTTCTGCCCTAGAAGACTTGAAGAGTCAAAAACCCCTGCAGTGCAAACATCTTGTTCATGGACTCGTTTATTGTTACTCACTCTGTAATGAGCTCCGACAGCACCTCCAAACTGTTGATGTGAATACTGGGAAGGATCAGCAATCTTAAACTTCCATCAGCTGTTAAGTTCTGACCAAGAAAGTCAAAGTGAAGAGATTAGAAACAATACATTTGTGTCTGAAGGTTAAACTACACATATCCTGAACAGTCCTGGTACAAAGTACATCTAATGATTAGCAACAATGACCACTACAAAAATTAATCAAACAATATTTTTTTTCATGTCAAGAGTCATGTATTTTTTATTGCATTTGCAATGCCCCACAGTAAGGCCTGGTGCAGTATTGCCTCTACCGTCTACCAAGAGTGCACTTAGTACCACATTTTTCGCAGTATAAGTCAGTTTTTTCATAAATTAGCATGCCTGCGACTTCTACAGCAAAGTGACATGTTGACATTATGTTTTCTCCAATATTTATAATCCAATTTTTGGCTGAGATCCGACAATTTCACTCATTCTGACACTGAAAATATTGAACACTACCATTTTCAGCCACTAGAGGGCATTTGAGTAATATTGCAAGTCAAGTGTCTCATTAATAGGTAAAAGAGGCTATTAATGAGACAGTTGGTTTGCCATACAAAGCCACCTTCATCTCACTCCAGAACTCCTGGAGCAAATGTCAAATCAGCTGCATTTCACTACGCCACCCAAGGAAATATGCAGCTGATTTGACCGTCAAAGTGCATTTAGTAAGCAAAAGTTAATCAGGTCTCTCTTGTAAATGAGTCCTCGAGGCTCAATGGGATTAACCTGTCTAAATAAAGGTTGAATGAATAAGCTGAGACAAACCTTTACTATAATTTCGAGCAAAAAAAAAACAATTGTTTTTAAGTGTTAATCTTTTTTAATTTTTGTTAAAGTCCTCCCGTGCACGTGGCCGCCATTTGGCAGCCCATCAATTTTTGGCGCAACACCAGCCCACGTTTCCAGGTGGTCAGCAGTGAACCATAATAGAAGCGACTTATACAGACAGCGAAGCAACATTTTTATGTTTTTTCCCCACTTTATTAGACATAAACTGCCTGGCCAAAAAAAAAAAGTCACCACCTGGATTTAACTAAGAAATATGTACGAGCCTCCAATTGGATAATTACTGCATGGGCGATTATCTTTCAGCTGGCAACAAGTTATTTAACCCCAACTGGTGCAATGAGTTGCTTCTCATTTCTTAAACAACCATGTCAAAGACACATCGCATGGTTGTGGAAAATATGTCAGTCTGTTTGAGAAGGGTAAAATCATTGGCATCAAGCAGAGAAAACATCTGAGGAGATTGCAGAAACTACTAAAATTGGGTTAACTGTCCAACACATTATTGAAAACTAGTGGGGGACCCATTGTCTTCGAGGAAGAAATGTGGCCGGAAAAAAAATCCTGAATGATAGTGATCTGCGATTACTTAAACGTTTGGTGAAATCAAATGGAAAAAAAACAACAGTAGCACTCAGGGCTGTTTAATAGTGAAAGTAAGAGCATTTCCACACGCACGATGTGAAGGAACTCAAGGGACTGGGACTGAACAGCTGTATAGTCTTAAGAAAACCACTAATCAGTGAGGCTAACCAGAAAAAAAGGCTTCAATTTGCTAGGGAGCATAAAGATTGGACTCTGGAGCAATGGAAGGTGGTCAGATGAGTCTAGATTTACCCTGTTCCAGAGTGATGGGCACATCAGGGTAAGAAGAGAGGCAGGTGAAGTGATGCACCCATCATACCTAGTTCCTAGTCATCAAAAAACTAATTAATGTAACACTGGATGGAAATAGATCTTGTGACATTGCAGATGCTTATCGAAACAATGCCACAGTGAATGCATGCCATAATCAAAGCTAAAGGTGGTCCAACTAAATATTAAGTGTTCAATTCAATTCAATTCAGTTTATTTATAAAGCGCCAAATCACAACAAAGTTGTCTCAGGGCACTTTACGGGATCATTCACATACATAAAAGCCAATTAGAAAAGTTCTCTATTTAAGGAAGCCGGCAAACTTGAATCTTCACTTTGTCGCAGTCTCCCATCCTGAGGAAGCACAGTGGCAACAGTGGAAAGGAAAAACTCCCTTTTAACAGGAAGAAACCTCCAGCAGAACCAGGCTCAGGACAAGCGGCCGTCTGCTTTGACCGGCTGGTTTGAGAGGACAGGAAGGAGAGACAGACGAACACAGAATGGCAGGTCCAGATAATTTAGTTTTTTCTCACTAGCTCTGTAACGAGGTGCATGCATTTCTTCCCTCTCCCTGTTCTATTCCTGCTTTTTGTCTGTGTATCAGAGCAGCTCCTATTTTTACACATCTTCCGAAATGAAAACTACCATTTTAGATCTGACCAACTGAACTTTTGACGCAAATGACAAAATCTTTTCAACAAAGCGACAGGGTCCTGGAGAACTCTCATCTGCTCGGACGACACGCATGCAGATGGATGCATCTCTGGGGTTGATGGGTCTATCTCTGCTATAGATCGAGGACGCCAGAATTGCATATAATTGGAGTTATGATAACAGGTTTCCCGTTTTTGGAATAGTCTGGATCCTGGTTTATCAACGTACAAAGAGGACGGCAGCAGCTAATCTGGCCCTTGTCAAGCTGCTGTCTATGTGAAGGTTGTTTTGTGCTTTGAGGACTCAAAATCAGCTCAGTTACGAGCAAAAACCATAAGATGGAAGTGATTTGAATCGCAGGCCACCTGCAGCTTTGGGACTCGTCAGCATGAAAACGACCTTGAAGAGGCTCGTAAGCACAGACCAGCAGAATACACCCTAACCTGGCCATTTCGGATCTTGGAGGTATCAGTAAAGACTCGAGGCTGACAAGGAAAAATAGTTTGCCTGTATAAATCAACAATTGTGGATTATCTGACTCAAGACTCCCCGGTTGGCCTTGAAACAGGCCGACTTATCAATTTCTCCTGGGAAATGTGTAAACTAAGGGAAAGCTTCATCTATCACAACCCCCACCCCTTTGTGTGGAGGCTCATCAGAATTGTGCCGGCTGACCATCATCTTATCAGGACAATGGACTATCTGTTAGTGCTTCATGGACCACCTTGTCGTAAATGCATATGTAACATGTTCATAAATGTGCTTGCTGGCAGAGTTTTTTGACGTCTTAAATCGTGTCCTGTTAGGACAAGGTGTGAAGAGATCTTTTTTATAATGTCACTATCCTCTCCTCATGGGTTTGTCCCTTTTTCTATCTAAAAAAAGTATTCTGAAAAGGATAACAAGGCCATGCTTAGAGCAGCATCTACGTGCACTCCGCCCATGTTTTGGACGACTGTACGGACATATTCTCGTTGTATCTTGGTGCAATGATCATAAAGCTTATTCTAATTCTGAGGTGCATATCTGGTATAGTTTAGTGATGTAGTGTGTGACCTTTCTTTTTTTTGGTGGCGATTTTTTTTTTTGTCCAGGCAGTGTATTTGGACTGATGCGAATTATACGGCGGTGTGATGTGTATGGCAGCAAGTACGGTACTAACAAAATAAATTTTTGTGTAACAATAATGAAAAAACATCAAAACACAGAAGAACATCAGAACAGACTTTACAAAGATTACAGAAAAACAACTTTTATACACACTGTGACTTCTTTCACAGCAAAGCTTCTACTGTGGATGAAAGCTTTGAAAAGCAGGCACTGTGGACGTGTAAAACCAACTCTGGATGGATAGGTTGTGATTAGTTACATTAGAGCAACACCTTGAAGTCTTGTTCTCATTTAGTCTCAATGCTAGCTTAAACAAATGCAAACACTGTTTCAGTAACACAGTGTGCAAAAGTCAAAATAAATAGAAGCAGCTACGACTTCAGGTCAATTTGTGCCTCAGCCAGATTTGGACACTTTGTACCCATTTTTTTAAGATTATGCCACAAGTTACTTTACCTGACTCCACCAACTCTTAACAAATTTCATTCTGACTAAGAAGTTGGAATTTCTGGGTTCCAAGTTGGAAACACCAACAGAAATATTGGCACTCTATAGTCAGACATTCTTGACCAACGCCACACTCAAAATCCAAAAAGGCTGACGTGCACATGAGAAGGTATGATGACAGCAGGGATAAACTTTGTAAAATCACGTCTGTCAGTTTCTGGCTCTGTTCAACCACTATTAGTGAACCTGTTGGTAAAGATCAAAATTCATGTTCGGTAATCCAGGTAAAAAAATTAAAGTTAAGTTAGGTCCTCTGGACAGTTTCTGAGTTACAACTAAATCTGGAGGTTACCCAAGTCACCCCCACAAAAATATATATTTTTTAGATATTTATGATAAACTACAAACACATGAAACTGAAAAGTAAAAAAAATCAGTTAAACGGAGGCACACAGCAACTATTTTTTTTTCTCTTCTTTCGGCTGCTCCCTTCTTCAGGGGTCGCCACAGTGAACTAACTCGCACCAAGACATAGCAATTGTTTTTACGCCGGACATCCTTCTTGACACAACCACAGACCACCGAGCCTCCACAGCCCTCTGTGTGGAGCAGAGCTCTGCTATCTAGGGTGCCCAGGGGACCAGATGGTGGGGGGTTAAGGAGGGCCTTGCTCAAGGACCCAGAGTGGGGAAAATGAGGATGCTTCACCATTCCGACCCACATTTTGATGTTGTAGGTAGGCCTGTCACGATAAACAATAAATCAATTAATCGCATGATAAATTAAAATTATTGACCTCATTTTCATTTATTGGCTTTATTATTTCTTCGTGTCTCTTTCTACTGAAGACACTGGATGACAAAAAGCTCAACTCCAGTGCTCTTCACTGACCCCTCCCTTTCTCTTTAAAATCTGTTTTAACGATCCAAAATTGCGTTTTTGGATCGTTAAAAGCAGCTAAGCTGAGAAGCTAAGCTACGAGCTAAGCTAACAGGCCGACCTCGGGGAAAAAAAAACTGTCTTGTCAAAGCTCCAAAATTCACGGTTGAAACCCGTGCCTCATGGAAAAAGTTTTTCTTTGCAAAACGATGCAGAGAACTTGTTTACTGATTTTTTTAATTAAAAGTTTTGTGTGACAAATGCTACGATAAAGAGCTCAAACCACACAGAGCGTCCGCCATTTTGAGAACCGAAGAGAGACAGTCCATGTCATGTAAAGGGGCCTCCCTCCCATTTTTCTTAAAGAGACACGCTGCTCGCTCCCTCACTATCCATCCTTGGGTTCAAACAGACTTATACTGACATCTGGTGGTCGAAAAAAGTACTGCATGCAAAACAAATTAAACATTTCTTCTTGGATTTGACAATAATTACTAATTATTGTCAAATTTCAAACAATATTATCGTTTATCGCAATAATTTGAGACAATCGCCCAGCAAAATTTGTAATTGTGACAGGCCTAGTTGCATTATTAAGAATACTAGATTATAGACAGTGTAAGAAGTATATTAATAATAATATAAGATATTGTATTGTTAAGGATACTATACATAAAAGATGTGTTTTCCATTTAGAGTCTCAATGTCAGTTAAGTTTGTGTCGTTTCAGTAGATGAAGGTCAACTATCTTGTTAAAAACCTGTTGTGTGGGGGTACTCACTATGCTCTTGGAGTTGACAGCGAGTGCTCGGCACACCATGTTGAGTATCAATCTGACAGGCAGATGGACGGCTGAGGCAGGATCCGCTCTGAAGGTCAGAAACAGTACAGTATGTAGTTTCTTCCTTGTCAGTGTCAGAAATACCAATATTGTGTAACTAATACTTTCATATTAAAAAGTTTCCTTACAACTTATTTCTGGTATTTACTGTACACTCAGATGAACCTTTCTGTCAAAGGCTAGGAGACTTTCATGTTCCAACCAGACTCTGACTGGGTGGAAATAAAACTTCAGCCACCACAGATGAGAGGACATAATGTTATTAACTTACTTTTTAAGTACCGGTATATGAACGTTTCTGTTCAGTGCCCTGAGATGACTTCTGTTGTGACTAGGCGCTTTATTAATTAACTTTTGGTCATCTATCATTGGTCGCATAGATTCTGGTTTTGATTTTTGATAACAGAGTCCAATTCTTGTACAGCTCTGACAAGCCAGAGCCAATTAGGACCATTACTGATTCATCTTAAAGAACTATGATTTAAAGAAGTGAAAATACAGTATATCATGTTAGTTTTTTTTATTAAAAAACAAAAGACATTCTGTTGAACCATTCAGCTTAAACTTTTTTGAAGATGCCTTTAGTAAAGACAGACTAAACTGCTTGGGGACAGGCAGACATGTTTTTTTTTTTTTTACTGTAGCCCAACCCAATGTAGAAGGCTGCAGACTTTTTTTGCCTGTAAAGCAAATGGTGCACCTTACGGGAAAGAACAAAATACACTTACGTTAGTGAAATGGAGAAACTACCCTACTGCTTCTACAAACGGTCAAGGTTAACGGAGACTATTTTCATTTACATCACATGTGGTACAGGAGGGGGAACAAAACTGTGTACTCAAGGATCAGTTACACCCAAAAAAGCAATATATATATATATATAAAAGTATAAATAAAAATACAGTATATAATGATCTAAGATATACACTAAAAAAATAATATAAATAAGGTTTAGTAAACCTGAACCTACTGTTGCCACAAGGCCATAATGCTGCCGTATGTTTCTACTGCCTAATCCTTATTTACAGTTTCTTTTTACATTTTATATTTTTGCAAGTACCTGGGACCCTGTGTACACAATTTCGTTCCACCTCATCACATGTGATGTGAATGATAATAAAACCTACTTGAACTTGAATTAATGTTGCCATACGGGGCCCTACTGCTCCCGTACGGGGCCCTACTGCTCCCGAACGGGGCCCTACTGGAGCCGTACGGGGCCCTACTGCTGCCGTACGGGGTCCTACTGGAGCCGTACGGGGCCCTACAGCTGCCGTACGGGGTCCTACTGGAGCCGTACGGGGCCCTACTGCTGCCGTACGGGGTCCTACTGGAGCCGTACGGGGCCCTACTGCTGCCGTACGGGGCCCTACTGCTCCCGTACGGGGCCCTACTGCTCCCGAACGGGGCCCTACTGGAGCCGTACGGGGCCCTACTGGAGCCGTACGGGGTCCTACTGGAGCCGTACGGGGCCCTACTGCTGCCGT